CAGGTGGGCTGGGCATTGCTCACGCCGATAAATGTGCTGTTGTTCAAACCGGCAGCCGGCAGCCAAATAATCGCTCTTCCCGGGGAAATATTATTTCCGTCCGTGTGTTTTGTTCGCCGGACGGCTGTCAACACCGCTCCTGTTTACACAAACACGCCGCGTTGTGCCCACAGCCGGCCAGTTGGCTACCGCTCGTAAAGCTGCTGCGATCAATCGCTGGCCACTCGATCGTTCAGTCTCTGGGTCTCTATTTAAGTCCAGTGGCCTATAAGTCTGCGGATCTTGATTCAAGTCTCTGGGTCTGTGGAGCAGTTTGTGGGTCTCTATGTAAGTTCAGCGGTCTATATTTAAATCTGCGGCTCCCTATGTGAATCTATAGCTATATACTTAAATATGTGGGTATCTAAGTCTATTGATCTCTCTTTAAATCCATGAGCCTACATGTGAATCCTTGGCAATATAAATAAACGTGGGTTTCTAAATCGACGGCACCACCCACAGCACCGACAGGGCATCATATTTACGGGGTTCTGTTTTGTTGTCGACAGAACAAAAACAAAACACCACATTGGTGGGAACGCAGCCGGACATAAACCCGGCCCCATCGTACGGAAACACGCGCGCACACGCGCACGCACACAAGCGTACACACGCGTACATACGCGCACACACGCGCGCACACACGCACACACACGTACACACGCGCACACACGCGCACACACGCGCACACACGCGCACACACGCGCAAACACGCACACACACGTGCGCACACACGTAACAATGATACCCCAGTAATGACCTTTAGCAGGGTGTTGGGGGCAAGTGCTGTTAGCGAGCACCTATGAAGGCCGGCACTGCACACGAGGTGGTGGGTGGCCAGCACCACGCCCGGCCGCCTTTGTCTCCCCCAGTGGCGATGTTTACTACACACCGCACCGGGTACTCATTTGAGGTCGAGTCGACCTAGAGGAGGCCCAGGGACCGGCTCAGACATTCGTCACCGGCAATCGAACTCGGCTCGCCGGGTTCAATAACACACACACACACTCCCACACGGACACAATTACACACACACACACAATAACACACACACAATAACACACACAGACACAATAACACACACAATAACACACACAGACACAATAACACACACACACTCGCACACAGACACAATTACACACACACACAATTACACCCACACACAATAACACACACACACACTCGCACACAGACACAATTACACACACACACACACACAATAACACCCACACACAATAACACACACAGACACAATAACACACACACACACTCGCACACAGACACAATTACACACACACACAATAACACACACGTGACACAATTACACACAGACACAATTACACACACACACAATAACACACACACACACTCGCACACGTGACTCGCACGTGTGCGCTCAAGTGCACACACGTGCGCTCACGTAAACTAACAACCGACTGATGGGCGTGGGAAGCCTTTCCCGCCCGCCCCGTGTTTGTTCCCGTCCCGTGGTATTTTGCGTCAAAGCGACCTCGCTTTTTAAGGGCCGCTCATCCTGTTGCGAACACGACAAGCGGATGTCCGCCACCCAGCAAGTGAAGTTACATTTTTTTGTTTTTTTCAAAATAAATTCCGATCCAGATTATCTGTCGGTAGCGATCGGAGCGATCGGCTCATGGGAAATTCTCCCAACCACGACGACGACGACGTGGAGACGGTCCCCACGGACCCCACGGTCCCCACGGACCCCACGGACCCCCACGGACCCCACGTACCCCCACGGACCCCACGTACCCCCACGGACCCCCACGGTCCCCACGGTCCCCACGGACCCCACGGTCCCCACGGTCCCCACGGACCCCACAGACCCCACGGACCCCAAGGACCCCCACGGTCCCCACGGACCCCACGGACCCCACGGACCCCCACGGTCCCCACGGTCCCCACGGTCCCCACGGACCCCACGCTCCCCAGGGCCCCGTTGTCAGATCAACGCCACCAAAGAGCAATCGACCAAAAGCAATGGCAGCAGGGGGGCAGATGGTGGGCGGGAGAAAGACGCACTGACGAGGGACGAGGAGGAGCGGGCGGCACGAGAGGAGAGATGAATGACAGCGAAACGTCGGCAACAGATGGGACGTGGTGACGACGGTGACGACGGCGACGACGGCGACGTAAGGGGCCGCGCGGAGCGAGAGAGAGAGAGAGAGTGCGAGAGTCTCCGCGTGGCCCTGCGCGATGCGGGTAGACGGTGACATGGGGCACAGGAGCGGACGAGTCGAGGGTTCCGTATCGGCAGGGTCTCTGGGTATCGGATGAGGGTTCTGTATTGGTCGCGCCGCGGCGGTCCCGTTTCATACCCCCCCCCACACACCCCCCGCCGATGCCGCGGTGACGCTTCCCGATACTTCCGCGGCTCGCGGAGTTTCCGGTAACATCTGTGCCGGCGGGAAAACAGCGGGGGAGGTGGCGGTGGGGGGGGGGGGGGGCTGGGGGGGGGGGGGCTGGGGGGGGGGGGGGCGCGTGGTTTACGTGGACGAGGGACACGTGCGGAGGACGCGGGGACGGACACGCGTGTCCGCTCGACGTGGCATTCTTTCACGGACGCAGGTGGGGGAGTCGACGTCCGGATTCCGGGGCATTTGGCACGCCGAGCGTTCCCGGCGTCCTCTCGGCGTGGGGTTAAGGCTATACGGGGGATCTTTGTCGGCGTGGGCGGGGCGACGGGAGTGGAGCGGGGGGGGGGGGGGGGACGGCCCCGACCGCCGTCGTCGGCTACGCGGGGCGCAAATCGCGGCTCGCAGAATCCAGGCGAGGCGGCGTGACGACCGCGCGCCCACCGGCTTGTGGAGGAGGGCGGAGGTGGCGGAAGGAGAAATTGTGCGCCCTCGTGGGGGGGCAGGGGGGCGGTGCGGGGGGAGCACCAAAGAATTTTGGGGGAATTTTGGTGAAGGCCCCAAAACTTCCCGCGCCCAGCAGCAGCAGCAGCAGCAAACAGCAACAACAGCCACAACACGTGCGCACACGCACAGACACGCACAGACACGCTCAGACACACTCACACGCGCACAGACACGCTCACACGCACAGACACACGCACACACGTACAGACACGCTCAGACACACTCACACGCGCACAGACACGCTCACACGCACAGACACGCTCACACGCACAGACACGCACAGACACGCTCACACGCACAGACACGCTCAGACGCACAGACACGCACAGACACGCTCACACGCACAAACACGCTCACACACGCACAGACACGCTCAGACACGCTCACACGCGCACAGACACGCTCACATGCACAGACACGCTCACACGCTGACACGCGCACAAAAGACAAAAATCCCCCGTATAGCCTTAACAGACTGTAGGGGCAAGTGCTGTTAGCGAGCACTTAAGAAGGCCGGAACGGTACACGAGGGGGTGGGTGGCCAGCACCACGCCCGACCGCCTTAGTCTCCCCAGTGGCGATGTTTTTTTCCACCGCACCAGGTACTCATTTGAGGCTAAGTCGACCTAGGGGAGGCCCAGGACCGGTTCAGATAATCGTCACCGGTGTTGGCCGTGAGCGGGAATCGAACCCGGGTCGCCAGGTTCATAGCGCAGCGCGCTAACCGCTACACTATCGCTCCCCACGCTCACACGCACAGACACGCTCACACACGCTCACACGCGCACACACACACACAGACATGTACACACGCGCACACATATCGGGTCGATGCTAGTCGAAGAGTTAGATCTGTATCGATCGGAATGATGAATCGACCAGAATCAACCGAATCGAATAATCAATGTGAATTGACGACTCGATCATAATTGATCTGAATCCAACAAATCCATATAAATCGAATAATCTATCTCACTTTACGAATCGATCAGAATTTAATCTGAATCGAATATAATCGATCTGATTTCAGAATTCGATATAAACTGATGAATCTATCCAAATCGATCCGGATCGATGCCTACATTTCACGAGCATCAGAATGTTCATCTGCACTGGACGAATCCGATGATCCGCTAAGCTCTGTGTCCACGGATGTCCCCGTAGTTTTTAAAACGGATGTGCAGCCCGATGAGCACGGTTGGATAGGTACGGTGGTGTGAAAGAAGCTCAACGTACGCTCAGACGCACGTGTAGGCGGCTCTTGCCGGCCAGTGAGCTCACCAGAGTCCAGAACGTTAAACAGCGGCAATGCTACAGCCCCACCAAGCGACTGAGCAGCGCTACTACACCAACGGATGGTGGAGAGGTCGTCGCGAAGGCCCCGCGGTGTGTGTGTGTGCGCGCACGTTGAACGGATTTCGCACCACAGCACGTAGCCAGACGTGCTGCTAGTCGGAGGCGGGGTGGGGCGGACAACAAACTGAACACAAAAAGCCGTTCTATAAAGAAATGAGTGAACGAGCGGGTGAGCGAGCGAGCGGGTGAGTGAGTGACCGAAGGAGTGAGCGAGCGGGCGGGTGAGTGAGCGGGTGAGTGAGTGAGCGGGTGAGTGAGTGACCGAGGGAGTGAGTGAGCGGGTGAGTGAGTGAGTGAGTGAGCAGGTGAGTGAGTTAGCGAGCAGGTGAGTGAGTGACCGAGGGAGTGAACGAGCGGGTGAGTGAGTGAGTGAGCGGGTGAGTGAGTGACCGAGGGAGTGAATGAGCGGGTGAGTGAGCGGGTGAGTGAGTGAGCGAGCGGGTGAGTGAGTAAGTGACCGAGGGAGTGAGTGAGTGGGTGAGTGAGCGACCGAGCGAGTGAGCGAGAGAGTAAGCGAGAGAGCGAGCGGGTGAGTGAGTGACCGAGGGAATGAGTGGGTGAGTGAGCGACCGAGGGAGTGAGCGAGAGAGCGAGCGGGCGCGTGAGTGAACGAGCCAGCGGGTTCGTGAACGAGTGAGCGAGAGCGAACGGGTGAGTGAGCGATTGATGGAGTGAGCGAGCGAGCGGGTGAGTCAGCGAGGAGTGAGGAGTGAGTGGCGGCACCTCTGCCCTGCGAGGAGAAGGTGAGGGCGAGCTGAGCCATGAGCTCGGGGCTCTCGAAGCGATCCTCGCGCGTCTGCAGCCAGAAGCAGTCCGACGGCATTTCCTGTGGTGCAATCTAACTCGCACACAGAGACAAACATCTCCCGTGTAGCCTCCACATGCACACACACACACACAGATACAGTGGCGGGTATTTTTAACCGCCACTTTTTTCAAATTTTCTTGTGGTTTTCACACCTAATGATGACTGCTTGTGCTGCAGTCGAAACGTCGTGAGAATTTTATTGTTTTATATTTTTATTATTTTATTGTTTCCCTTCTACGTGACTTTACCGAAAGAACCAAGAATATGAATCCCTGCAGTCACGAAAGCATTAAATCAAAATAAAATCCCCCATGTAGCCTCCAACAACAAACGCCATTCGCCACTAAGTGGCGGCGACGTCAACATGGCGCTTGTGCCAGGCTAGGTGCACGTTGAGGCCGTGTGAAGTGTCGAACGCACACCGGAAGGAGGTCACGGGGCAGACCCAGGTGCCATGGGTCGACTGACTGAGATGACTGGCCGATGCACCTCCTCCATACACGCACAAAGGCCCCCCATGTAGCCTTAACAGACTGTAGGGGAAAGTGCTGTTAGCGAGCACCTATGAAGGCCGAGATGAGTGGCCGATGCACCACGCACACACACACACACGCGCACACACACACGCGCACACACGCGCACGCACGCTCGCGCACACACGCACGTGCACACGCACACACGCACGCACACACGCACGCACACGTGCACGCACGCACACACATGCACGTGCACGCACACACGCACACGTGCACACACGCACACGTGCACGCGCACACGTGCACGTGTGCGCACACTCGCACACCCCCCCGACGGGCACCTTGCTCCAGTTGGTGCGCTTGAGGACCACGCTGGGTTTGTATTCCTTCTTGGGCTTCACGCCGGGGGGCAAGGCGTTGAAGGCCCCCGCCATCGGCGGCGCGCCCGGAGGCCCCCCCGGAGGGGGCGGCGGCGGCGGGGGAGGGGGCGGTCCCCCGAGGCCGGGGGGAGGGGGGGGCGGCGGGGGGGGGCGGCGGGGGGGGGCGGCGGGGGGGGGCGGCGAGGTTGCCCCGGCGGTGCCCGTGACCGCGCCGCCGCCCGACACGATCTGCGGGGAGGAGAGGAGGGCCGTTACTCGCAGTCGCCACGGGTCGACTGACTGAGATGAGTGGCCGATGCACCACCCGTGCCGCTACTGTGCGTTTTATCCACCCGGCGCTCCGCTCGTTGTTGTGAGCGTCGCTCCTCCGCCCTCCGTTGTTGTTGGAGGGTGACTGCCTCCAACTGCCCAGTAGCGTCCTTCACGAGCCTCCTCCACAGAGGCCGATCTTGACACCGCTGGTACCAGTCATCGGCAAGTCCACTCAGCTCCACCTCCTCCTGTACCACATCACTCCATCTCTTCTCTAGCCCGTGCCGCGCCCGCTTAGCCCCCTCAAACCCGGCCAAACAAAAGCTGTTTCTGCATGCGATGGCTGGGCATGCGGGCTACATGACCCAGCCATCGCAGCCTTGCCTGCCGGAGGGGCTCACCGATGGGACCCTGCCCAGATCTTTCAAGGATTTGTGAGCTCTTCATACAATCCATCGTGGTTAAGCCCAGGATGGATCGTAGGCAGGCCAGACCGTGGCTCAGAAGACCCGAAGCTTCGTGTTGAGCGACAGTGTTTCTCCACAGGGCCCCACACACACACAGGGACACATGGGGACACACAGGGACACACACACAGGGACACACACACACAGGGATGCGCACACACACACACAGTAACACACACACACAGGGACACACACACACACAGTGACACACACACACACAGGGATGCACACACACACACAGTAACACACACACACAGGGACACACACACACAGGGACACACACGCCCAGTGACACACACACGCCCAGGGATGCACACACACACACAGTGACACACACACACAGGGATGCACACACACACACATAGGGACACACACACACACAGGGACACACACACAGGGACACACACACACAGGGACAACCACACAGGGACACACACACACAGGGACACACACACACACACACAGGGACACACACACACAGGGACACACACACAGGGACACACACACACAGTGACACACACACACAGGGACACACACACAGTGACACACACACACACACAGGGACACACACACACACAGTGACACACACACACACAGGGACACACACACACAGTGACACACACACGCACAGGGACACACACACAGGGACACACACACACAGGGACACACACACACAGGGACACACACACACAGGGACACACACACACACACAGGGACACACACACACAGTGACACACACACACAGGGACACACACACACAGTGACATACACACACAGGGACACAACAACAACAACAACAACCGCCATTCGCCACTAAGTGGCGGTGACGTCACCACGACGCTTGTGCCAGGCTATGTGCACCCTGAGGCCACGTGAAGTGTCGAACGCCCGCTGGCAGGAGGTCACGGGGCAGACCCAGGTGCCACGGGTCGACTGACTGAGATGACTGGCTGATGCACCACCTGTGCCCCCTACTGTGCCAACCTGCTGTGCTTTATCCACCCGGCGCTCCGCTCGCTGTTGTGAGCGTCGCTCCTCCGCCCTCCGTTGTTGTTGGAGGGCGACTGCCTCCAACTGCCCAGTAGCATCCTTCACGAGCCTCCTCCACAGAGGCCGATCTTGACACCGCTGGTACCAGTCATCGGCAAGTCCACTCAGCTCCACGTCCTCCTGTACCACATCACTCCATCTCTTCTCTAGCCCGTGCCGCGCCCGCTTAGCCCCCTCAATCCGGCCAAACAAAAGCTGTTTCGGCATGCGGTGGCTGGGCATGCGGGCTACATGACCCAGCCATCGCAGCCTTGCCTGCCGGAGGAGCTCACCGATGGGACCCTGCCCAGATCTTTCAAGGATTTGTGAGCTCCTCACACAATCCAGTCTGGTTAAACCCAGGATGGATCGTAGGCAGGCCAGCCTAAATGTTTCTAACCGGCGAAGATGTTCCATTAGGGGGGTCCACGTTTCGCAAGCGTAGAGAAGGGAGGGAATGACCGTGGCCGAGAAGACCTGAAGCTTAGTGCGGAGCGACAGACCAGGTAGCTTCCACACAGCGTTACGCAACCGATGAAAAGATATTGCCGCTCGACTGATTCGGAGTGAGACCTCTGCTGTTAAACTGGAGCCAGTCATAAGCACACTGCCCAGGTATGGGAAACTCTCCACTCTCTCCACAACTGCCCCATCACCGATTGGGAGTTGTGGGGGTGGAGTGTCCGATGGTACAAAATACCCAGGCAGGTGCTTAGTTTTGGTGGGGCTGATGGTAAGGCCCCACCTCTTAGTGGCACGCTCCAGTCTCAGCAGCAGCGTCTCCAACTCCTCCTCTGACTGAGCAGCTATTACCAAGTCATCAGCATACATAACGTGGTTGAGCAATAGAGAGCCATCCCTTGACCGCACCCGGGCATCGATTAGCCTCCCATTATATCTGTACCATATGGAGATTCCCCCGGTACAGCTATTGAAGGCTTCACGAACTACGTGGTCAAAATAGATGTTAAATAATGTGGGAGCCAGAGGACATCCCTGTCGCACCCCAAGGTGTACAGGGAATGGCTCTGACTCCCGGCCACGTAGTTTTACCCGGGCCCGCTCACCATCATGAAGGTCCTTAATGATCGTGAGCAGAGGGTCAGGTACTCCAAAAGCACGAAGAACGACCCAGAGCCCAGGCCTACTGATGGTATCATAGGCCTTGACCAGGTCAATAAAGCAGAGATGTAGGTCTTGTTGGAATTCCCTACACCTCTGCTGTAGCAGACGGACAGAAAATATGGCATCTGTGCAGGACCGCCCTTTCCTGAAACCGCATTGGGGCTCCGCAAGCCTCTCCTCAGCGTGCCTGGCAAGGCGATGCTGAATAATCCTTGCCAGGACCTTTCCCGGCACACTGAGGAGTGAGATGCCCCTGTAGTTGTTACAGTCTGTGCGGTCCCCCTTCTTAAAAAGGGGGACCACCAGGGCATCCTTCCAATCCTGCGGAACCCGTCCAGTTGTCCAGACTGTTGTTATGATGTCATATAGGGCAGTCTGTGCACAAACGCCACCCTCCCTCAGCATTTCGCTTGGGAGATCATCTCTGCCCGCTGCCTTTCCTGGTCTCAGACTCAGGATCGCCTTCAATACTTCCTCAGCAGATGGCACCTCAGCCAGCCACTCACAGGGGGTGACTTCATCCAATATTTGAGGCACCGCAGCCTCAGCAGGGTCATCCTCACTTTGTGCCACGATGTTTTCCTGGCTGAGGGATTTTCCCTCCCCCAGGACCTCACAGAAATGCTCAGCAAATCTGCGAACCTGTTCCTGGGGGTCGGAAATTGGATCACCGTTTTTTCCCCTAATGATGGTAATAGGTGTGGCGCTGCAGGTTACTTTTTTGATGGAGTTAAATAGAGATTTGTGATCACGGGCCACTGAGGCAGACTCCATCTCCTCAGCAACCCGCGACCACCACCCATCCTTGCAGCGCCTCACGGCTCTCCGAACCTCCGAGCGAAGGCTGCGGTAAGCCTCCTCATTCTCTGACGTGGGATTCTGTAGCCGATGACAGTGGGCCTGTCGCTTTTTCTCAACCATCGTGAACAACTCCTCTGTCATCCAGGGTGTCTGGGGAGGTCTGGACCGCGTACCCAAAGCAGCCATTGCAGCTGCATGAGTCACAGTCCTAAACCTCGCCCATTTACCCTCGACATCAGGAGGAGTCGGGGACGATGCCAATCCCAGCCGCAAGCGATGATGAAATTCTCGCTTGCAACTTTCATCAGATAACTGAGACCAGGCCACTTTAGGTTGGAATGGGGTCCTGGGTGTACACCCACCACCGGAGTGGAAGAATGGCAGGCGCATCTTACAGATGACTAGTCGATGGTCAGAGGGCAGATCAGCTCCACGGTAGGTCCTGGTGTCAAGGACATGGGCTCGCATTCGCTGGTCCGTCACTATGTAGTCCAGCAGATGTTCTTGCTTGGACCCGGCATGCATCCATGATGTTGTGTGGATGCGCCGATGCCGGAACAGCGTGTTGGTAATTACAAGCCCATGGGCTGCACAAAAATCTAGCAGCCTCCTACCGTTGTTATTGAGCTGATCTGGCCCATGCCCTCCAATCACTCCAGACCAGGTGCCAGTATCATGACCAACTCGGGCATTGAAGTCACCCAACATGATGACTCTATCCCGAGGGGCCACTTTAGCCAGCACCTGTGACAGGAGGTCATAGAAGGCATCTGACTCATCGGCTTTGCCTGCATCCCTCCACGGATGTTCATCTTCGGTGGGGGCATAAGTAACCACGACCACCATTCCTCGCCTCCGGTTGATGGGAAGGCGAGCCCAAAGTAGCCTGGGGCTTACAGCTTCCCACACCTCACCGCCACGCTCCCACGCCCCCTTCATTCTTTTGTTCAAAAGAAGACCCACACCCTGTTGTTTGGCAGTCTGCTGCCCCGAGTAGAGGACTGTCCACCCCTCATGGTGGCAGGAGCCAGAGCCGGTCCACCGGACCTCCTGAATGCCGCATAGATCCAGGCGGTACCGGTCCAGCTCCCGACAGAGGAGTGGCAGCCTCTCCTCTGCAGTGAGCGTTCGAACATTCCACGTGGCCAACCGTAGTGGCTTTTCGTTGTTTCTGGAGTAGCCCCGAGGGTAGGTATTCAATCTCCTGGCTCCGCCAATTGGGGTTTGGCCAGGAGACGTCATAGACGCCTGGCCCCCCGGGGCCTCCGGCACAAGCTTAGTTGTTACATATTTCAGTTTAATTCGTAGTTTCGTGGTAATTAATTGAAGGTGGAGGGGTTACCAGCCCCTCGCACCCGTCCAGAGCCCCCGTTTAGCCCCTGTGGTGGACACATATGCCATGAGGGGAGGAGCCAATCAAAATTGGATCTCCCCCCACAGCGCTGTCCACGACAGAGTTGCCCGTCCGGCACCGCGAGGAGGTAGGGGGTTGTTTTGACACACACACACAGGGACACACACACACACAGGGACACACACGCCCAGGGACACACACACACACACAGTGACACACACACAGGGACACACACACACACAGTGACACACACACACAGGGACACACACACACACAGTGACACACACACAGGGACACACACACACACAGTGACACACACACACACACACAGGGACACACACGCCCAGGGATGGCTGCGTGTCCACTCGCCTGCTGCTGTATGCGCGCCACCTCGCTCTCGAGCTCGCGCTCCCGGTTCTCCTTCTGCTGCAGCGCGACCTGCATCTCCTGCCTCGCAGCCAGCTCCGCCTCCAGCTACACACGCACAATCACAGAGATCGCCCGTGCAGCCTTCGCACCGTGCGTAGCCAACCGTGCTCATCGGAGGTGCGGGGGAAGGACAACAAACTAAACACAAAAACCAGTTCGAAAATAAATTAGTTTTCAATTTCGATGTAAGAGTGCACAGCTCCAGTGGCTTTCTAATATCGGAGGAGCGTTCCCGACGGCCAAAGAAGCGCATCCGAAAGCGCGCGATGCGGCGACCGCCTTTGTTCCATGGCCAGCCAAAAGCTGCTGCTGCTGCTACTGCTGCTGCTGCGGCCGCCGCTGCTGCTGCTACTGCTGCTGCTACTGCTGCTGCTGCGGCCGCCGCTGCTGCTACTGCTGCTGCTACTGCTGCTGCCGCTGCTGCGGCCGCCGCTGCTGCTGCTACTGCTGCTACTGCTGCTGCCGCTGCTGGGGCCGCCGCTGCTGCTGCTACTGCTGCTGCTGCCGCCGCTGCTGCGGCCGCCGCTGCCGCTGCGACGATGACCGGAGTGTGCGTGATGGTCTATGCTCCTTGATGAGAAAGTGCCGTGTTCGCGAGCGGCACTTGCGAAGTCCGGCACGGCACACGAGGGGGTTTGTGTTACCAGCACCACCGCAGACCACCTTTGTCTCCCCAGTGGCGATGTTTACACACCGCACCGGGTACTCATTTGAGGCTGAGTCGACCTGACCGCCAGAGCAAAAAAAAATTACATCGCGCGCTGATTGCGGACGCATTGGACAGGGCGGGGTTCTCAAGAATTTTCCGTCACCTGCTTTGCGAGTTCCTCCACTTTCCTTTCGATCTCCGCCGATTTTTCCTTGTCCACCATCCCCTCTGCAGGCACACACACACACCAAAAAAGGCAAAGGTCCCCTGTGTAGCCTCCATCGTCTGCTGGGGCAAGTGCCGTGAGCGGGTAAGCGGCACTAACGAAGGCCGTCGCGGTGCTCCAGGGGTGGTGTGGCCGGAATCCACGCCCGGCCCCCTAGTGCTGATGTTTCAGGGGCGCCACGGTGGCTAGGAGATGTTAACTACCTCGCATGGTCTACAGGACGTCGTGGGTTCGATCCCAACCCTAACGCCTGCTGTGTATTTGGAGTTTGCGTGTCTCTCTCTCTCCGTGGTGAGATGTTAACTACCTCGCCTGGTCTACAGGAGGTCGTGGGTTCCATCCCGACCCTGACGCCTGCTGTGTATTTGGAGTTTGCGTGTCTCTCTCTCCCCGTGATCGCGTGGATTTCTCTCCGGGTCCTACGGTTTTCCCCTCCACATTTAGAATGAACGTCGCAGGTTCAGAGTATTTGGCTGCTATACATTTCCACGTGATAAGCTATCAATTGTGGCCAGGTCGCTTCTGAAAACGAGCTTGCGTCGCTCAGTGGGCCTTGTCTGGCAAAATAAACAGAATAGAAATAGTTGTAGGTTTTCACAACGCAACAACACAACTCATTTCGCGCCGAGCTGACCTACAGGATGCCCGAGACGAATTCAAACGCAGCTTCGCCGCTAACCGTACGAATGTTGAACCGTACGTTGAACTTCTTTCGCACCGGACGTAGCCGACCGTGCTAATCGGAGTTGCGGGTGGGGCGAAGGACAACAAACTAAACACAACAAGCAGTTCTAGAAAGAAATGGGTTCCTAGTAACGGGCACAACTACACGGAGCAGCGGCGGCGTGTTCGGCGCTCGCTGTTGCAGAGAGCTTCACGGTTCAAATTCGGCGGCCGTGCCCGGTTAACACGCCGGTCGCTTCGCTCACAGCGGACGACTTTAAAGATCCCGTGGCGTCGTTTGCTGGAGTTGTTGGGCAGCCGCGTGCCGGCGACGCGGTACCAACTTAGCCAAATCAGAGGAATCTCACCGGAGGCGACTGGCTGCGATCCCACACAGCGACCGTTGGCCTAAAAAACTCAATCCTTCATTGCTCTCGATATCAATTTTTTTTCATTTCACCATCGGTTTATGGCAGCACCCCTCCTGAAAAAAGTTCCCATAAGACTTTAAACTATTGTACCAGGGTAGGCCCACTGGGCTATGTGGCTCTTTTCAAAAAGCGACACGGCTATCACAAATGAGAGCTCAAGGAAGTGGCTTATCATCATCAAATCAAAATTTATAGCAGCCAAAAATACTCTAAACGCATGACGTCGAGTCTAAACGAGGACCCGGAGAAAAATCCACGCGCGACCACGGGGAGAGAGAGACACGCAAACTCCAAATATACAGCAGCAGGCGTCGTCAGGGTCGGGATTGAACCCACGACCTCCTGTATACCAGGCGAGGTAGTCAACATCTCCTAGCCACCGTGGTGTCCCATTGAACCCAGGACTTGGCGAGGCTTCTCCCTCCACACCCCCCTCACCGATGAGGTGCTCCACGTCCAGGCAGAATCGTTTGCCGTGCCGGAAGTCGGGATCGCAGCCGCCTCGGTGGAGCACGATCTGAGAGACGCACTCGTCCACCAGCCGGTAGTACTGAGGCCTGCGTGCACGCACACACAAGACAAAGGGCCCCCGTGTAGCCTTCACGGACTGGTGTGGGGCAAGTGGAGCCCGTAGCACCTATGAAGGCCGGCACGGCACACGAAGGGGGTGGGTGGCCAGCACCACGCCCGGGCCGCCTTTGTCTCCCTGGTACGCCGTACCAACTACTCAATTAAGGCTGAATGGACCTAGGGAAGGGTCGGAGCCGGTTTAGACATTCGTCACCGATGCTGGCGGAGCGCGGCGTGCTAACCACTGCGCCACCGCTCCCCACAATACACACACACACGTACATACACACACACACGTACGTACATACACACACACACGTACATACACACACACACGTACATACACACACACGTACACACACACACATTCAGAGACACCCGATTCGGTCACATACACTCTCAGGACCAGTATTGTCAGCGAGCACCTATTAAAAGGCCGGCACGTCACCTGCCCACGAGCTGCCACGGTGCGACCCGAATACCCAGCCGTCTTTGTCTCTCCAGTTCCAATAAAAAAAAGACAAGGACAAAGATCCCTCGTGTAGCCTGAACAGACTGTTGGGGCAAGTCCTGTTAGCGAGCACCTGTGAAGGCCGGCATGGCACACGACGAGGGGGTGGGTGGCCATCACCACGCCCGACCGCCTTTGTCTCCCCGGTGGCGATGTTTACACACCGCACCGGGTAAGTCGACCTAGGGGAGCCTCGGGACCGGTTCAGATAATCGTCACCGGTGTTGGCCGTGAGCGGAAATCGAATTCGGGTCGCCGAGTTTGTAGCGCAGCGTGGCGCTAACCGCTACACCACCGCACCCCACACACACACACCACATCGTCGCCATATCGGTCGTTTCCCCCCAGAGATTTTGGGCCGAGCGGACCCGGGGGCGGGCGAGCGGGCGGGCGTACCGGGCGTAGAAGTCGTTGCGCACGAGCAGGAGGTGCTGCAGCAGGGAGAGGAGGAAGCCCTCTGCCGCAGTGTCCTTCACCACGTTCGCCACCACCGAGAAGACCTCCTGGACATCGGTGAGCGCCCGTCAAGGAGCACCGTGTTGAGATGGGACGGGTGGCCAGGTGGCTCGGGGCTCAGAGGGCTCAGAGGGCTCAGGGGTCAGGGGCGCCGAGGGGAACCGCTGAGATCCTGGGTTCTAGTATTAACTATTTGTATTTTACCAGGTAAGGCCTACTGAGCTATAGAGCTCTTTTTCAGAAGCGACATGGCCACAGATGATTGCTCAACGATGTGGCTTATCACGTGGAAATGTTTTACAGCAGCAAAATACTCTAAAAGCACATTCATTATAAATGTGGGGGGGTAAAACCGGAGGACCTGGAGAATACAATCCACACAACCAGAACACGCAAACTCCAAATATACAGCAGCAGCAGCAGGCGTCAAGGTCGGGATCGAACCCACGACCTCCCGGATACCAGGCGAGGTAGTTAACGTCTCACCACGGAGAGAGACACGCAAACTCCAAATATACAGCAGCAGGCGTCAGGGTCTGGATCGAACCCACGACCTCCTGTAGACCAGGCGAGGGAGTTAACATCTCACCACTGTGGCTCAGGGGCACCGAACCGAGCCACGGATTTGACCCTGGGTTCAAATCTGGGTTTGTTATTAAACGGGGATATCTCGAGTGCGGCGAGGCGATGGCCTCGGCCGGGTCGTGCGCATTCTGCTTCGACTTGAACGTCCTCCAGCTGAGCAGCTCTTGACGGGCGAGTCGCTTCTCAGGCCTCGTAGCCAGGCGGATCTCTACACCCCGCTGCTGGCTCGGCGCGTCCGACACGGCCGTTGCGAATCTCCTCGGCAACGGTGGCGTAGCCGGGGCCACGGCTGGAAACGGGAATTTCAGCGGCGCCAGCGACTGGCGGCGGCACTTGAACTGCAACGAGGGGCGTAACGGTGGCTAGGAGATGTTAACTACCTCGCCTGGTGTACAGGAGGTCGTGGGTTCCATCCAGACCCTGACACCTTATATAAAATTTGGAGTTTGCGTGTCTCTCTCTCTCTCCGCATGGTCGAGTGTATTTGTGTCCGTGTCCTCCGGCTTTTCCCCTCCACATTTAGAATTAACATCGCGCGTTCAGAGTACAGTAAAACCTTGGATTGCGAGCATAATTCGTTCCGGAAACGTGTTTGTAATCCAAAGCACTCAGTTGTGATCACGTGACGCTCGGCAGACAAAGCGTCTACGTACACTGCTCGTATTGCAAGACCCTCGCTCGTTTATCAAATTAATATTTATTACAAATTATTGCTCGTCTTGCGAAACGCTCGCACAGAGACCAAGTTACTCGCAATCCAAGGTTTTACTCTGTATTTGGCCGCTACATATTCCACGTGGTGATGACGACGAGCCACTTGGCCGAGCAATCGTTCGTGTTCGCCAGGTCGCCACCGAAAAAGTGCTATGCTGCTCAGTGGGCCCCAACCCGGTAAAATAAAATATTATAATTTAATCTTTTGAATGAAAAGGAATCTCCGTGCACTCTCTCCGTCGGGACCAAAGGATATTCGATCTCTAAGCGAATGTCGTTGTAGCGGTGAGAGAGCTCCAGAGAATCTTCCTCGCGGTTTTCATCGAACACCCTCAGCTGGACCTCGAACTCCTCGTTTTCCAGCTTCCTCAGCTCCTGCGGCCACGACGAGGAGGGGGGGAGGGAGGGGGATGGGCACCGCGTCTCAACGCCCCTCGCCAACGACGCACGCGCGGGAAGCCGTCCCGTGAACGTGGTGGCCTGACGACACTCACCCGACACTCGCCCGACACTCGATCGCTTGACTTGTCAGATGCTCGCCATCAACTCACCTGACCCTCACCACCACCACCACCACCACTCACCACCACTCACCACTCACCTGAACCTCACCACCACCACTCATCAACTCACCACTCACCACTCATCAACTCACCACTCACCATTCACCAACTCACCTGAACCTCACCACCACCACTCACCACTCACCACCACCACTCACCAACTCACCTGAACCTCACCACCACCACCACCACTCACCACCACCACTCACCAACTCACCTGACCCTCACCACCACCACCACCACCACTCACCACTCACCTGAACCTCACCACCACCACCACTCACCACCACCACTCACCTGAACCTCACCACCACCACCACTCACCACTCATCAACTCACCACTCACCAACTCACCTGAGCCTCACCACCACCACTCACCACTCACCACCACCACTCACCAACTCACCTGAACCTCACCACCACAACCACCACTCACCACCACCACTCACCACTCACCAACTCATCTGAACCTCACCACCACCACCACTCATCAACTCATCACTCACCACCACCACTCACCAACTCACCTGAACCTCACCACCACCACTCATCAACTCATCACTCACCACCACCACTCACCAACTCACCTGAACCTCACCACCACCACCACTCATCAACTCACCACTCACCACCACCACCACTCACCGGCAGGAGGTCGACGAGTCCACAGCGCATGAACTCGCTGCGCAGGTGAAGCCGGAAGTCGAGCTCGTCCACGGAGGTGACGAGAGCGTTGATCAGCTGCATGCACGCCACCTGTGGGGGGGAGGGCGAGGGGAGGGTGGGGGGGAGGGTGCAGGGGGGGAGAGTGGCGGGGCAGGAAGGGAGCGGGGAGGGGGGGGATGGAGGGAGTGGGGGAGTGAGGAAAGCAGGGCAGGGCAATTGATGTTAAAGAGGCTCAGCTGGCGGTGAGGGTTGGGATGACGGCGAGAGTGAAGATGACGGTGAGGACGAGGGTGATGATGATGATGGTGATGATGAGGACCGCACCTTGAGCGGGAAGCTCTGGTTCTGCTTCACCCCACACACGATGCGAGAGAAGCGCTCCTCCTCCTCCTCCTTCTCCACCGCGCTCACCTCCACGTGCCGAGTCAGAGCCTCCAGGATCCTGCCGTGCCTGGGACGAGAAACACAACGATAACGAATACGGTCACATGACAACAATGACGATGATCATAGCCGACGACGACGATGATGATGATGACGATGATGATGACGGGAAACACCGTCAACGGTGAGCGCTGATCATTGATGAACCGCGCCTCCGCCGGCCGCATACGTTGGCCCTTCTCGGGATGCAAATTCTCGCTTTGCTGCATGGGCGGGCGGGCGGGAGGGGAGGGGAGGGAGGAAGGGAGGGAGGGAGGGGAGGGAGGGAGGGAGGGCTGGAGGGAGGGAGGGAGGAGAGGGAGGGGAGGGGAGGGAGGGCTGGAGGGAGGGAGGGAGGGCTGGAGGGAGGGAGGGAGGGAGGGAGGGCTGGAGGGCTGGAGGGAGGGAGGGCTGGAGGGAGGGCACACACTCACATGCCGCCCTCATCCAGGATGCACAGCGCCGACAGCAGCTTAACGGCGTCGGCCATCATTGGTGGGTAGGCCGGGTCGACGGCCCGAGCCAGGAGGTAGACGCCATTCTCCTCCGCAAGCATCCGCATGATGCCGTACTACGGGTACACGAGACAAAGACAAAGGTCCCCCGCGTAGCCCTTAACAGACTGTCGGGACAAGTGCTGTTAGCGTGTAACGCCTGCAAAGGCCGGCACGGCGCACACCTATGAGATGGTGGGTGGCCAGCACCACGCCCGGCCGCCTTTGTCTCCCCGGTGGCGATGTTTACTACACATCGCACCGGGTACTCATTTGAGGCAGTCGACCTAGGAGAGGCCCAGGACCGGTTCACATAATCGCCACTGGTGTTGGCCGGGAGCGGGAATCGAACTTGGGTTGCCGCGAACAACTACGCTACTGCTCTCCCACACACACACGCACACACACGCACGCACGCACACACACGCACACACACGCACACACACACGCACACACACGCACACACACACGCGCACGCACACACACACGCACGCACGCGCACGCACGCGCACGCACACACACACGCACACACACGCACACACACGCACGCACACACACGCACACACACGCACACACACGCACGCACACGCACACGCACACACACACGCACGCACACGCACACGCACGCACACGCGCGCGCACACAAAGACCCCTCGCGTAGCTCTTCGCAGACTGCCAGGGCAAGCGCCGTTAGTGAGCGAGCGGCGTCGATGAAGGCCGGCGCCACCGCCTCCGTCCGCAGGCGAGTGAGCGGGCGGGCGGCTCACCTTGTTGTTCATGAAGGCCTTGAGGCAGCGGATAATCTCGTGTTGGTTCTTCTTGCAGATCGCGTCGGAGCTACGGCCAAACGAGGAGAGTGGGGGAGGGGGGGTTACCGGCGGTGTACGCCCAGGGTGAATATTCGTCGTTGCCAACGCAGCTGATGCAGACTCGGGCCTGAAGAGGCCGCGTGACCCAGAGGTCAGGGTCATGGAGCCGGCACAGCTGAGAGCCTGAGTTCCAATCCGGGTCTCAGCCACAGACTCACAACAGAGACCCACAGACTCACACGGAGACGCATAGACTCACACAGAGACACAGACTCACACGGAGACACATAGACTCACATGGAGACACATAGACTCACACGGAGACCCATAGACTCACACGGAGACCCACCCTGTCAGTCACACAGAGACCCATAGACTCACATGGAGACACATAGACTCACACGGAGACACATAGACTCACACGGAGACCCATAGACTCACACGGAGACCCATAGACTTACACGGAGACCCATAGACTCACACGGAGACCCATCAACTCACACGGAGACCCATCGACTTGCACAGAGACCCATGGACTCTATATAGACTGAGCGTAACATAGACCAAGTTGTAATGACCTCCAAGCTTGCCTCTTACCGGTTTGAGTCCTGCAAAGTTTTCAGCGAGGTCAGGAGCAGCCCGCAGCCCTCCTTGCCGAAATTCTCCACCCAGCTGTACACACACAAAGACAAAGATCCCCCCTGTAGCCTTAACAGACTGTTGGGACAAGTGCTGTTCGCGAGTAGCACCTATGAAGGCCGGCACGGCACGCGAGGGAGGGGGCTTGGTGGCCAACACCACGACCGGTTCAAATATTCGTCACTGATATTTGTTCTGAGTGGAAATCAAATTCGGGTCACTGGGTTTGTGGTGCAGTGCGCTAACCACTAATCCACCGCTCCACGAAAGACAAAGACCCCCCGTATAACCTTAACAGACTGTTGGGGCAAGTGCTGTTAGCGAGTAGCACCTATGAAGGCCGGTACGGCGCACGAGGGCGGGGGTGGCCAGCACTACGCCCGGCCGCCTTTGTCTCCCCAGTGGCGATGTTTCCACACCTAACCAAGTCATCATTTGAGGGGCTGAGTCGACCTAGGGGAGGCCCATGACTCGTTCAGAAAATCGTCACTGTCGATGGCTGCGAGCGGGAACTGAACTCGGCTCGCCGGGTTCGTAGCGCAGCGCGCTGACCGCTGCGCCACCGGTCCCCACGCGTGTGCACAGCACCTGACGGGATTGCTGTTGAGCGAGACTCGCAGCGACTCGAGGCACGTGAGCAGCTTCTCGTCGTTGAGGCTCGTCTTGAGGCCGTAGACGTACTCCTGCGAGGAGCACAGCGCGCTCTCCTCGCTCGAACGCACGCCCTGCACGCACGCAAAATAAAGACAAAGATCCCCCGCGTAGCCTGAACGGACTGTTGGGGCGAGTGCCGTGAGCGAGCACCTATGAAGGCCGGCACGGCACGAGGGGGGGTGGGTGGCCAACACCACGCCCGGTCGCCTTTGTCTCCCCAGTGGCGATGTTTACCCACCGCACCGGGTACTCATTTGAGGCCGAGTCGACCTAGGGGAGGCCAATGACCGGTTTAGATCATCGTCACCAGTGTTGGCCGTGAGCGGGAATCGAACCCGGGTCGCCAGGTTCGTAGCGTAGCGCGCCGACCGCGACACTACCGCTTACGCACGCACAGACAAAGATCCCCCGTGTAGCCTACACAGACCGCTTGGGGCAAGTGCTGCTCGAGAACTGCTGAAAAATCCACGCGACCACGGAGAGAGAGACACACACACTCCAAATATACAGCAGCAGGCGTCAGGGACGTGGTCGAACCCACGGCCTCCTGTAGACCAGGCGAGGTAGTCAACGCTGCGGGCGTCAACACGCGGCTGACGGGGACAGGGGCGGGGGAAAGTGCCGAGGCAGAGCGGATGTTTGACGATGGGCCGAGGGGGATTGGAGAAAGTTCCCAAACCGGTTGTTACGCGAAGGCGGACGTGCGGCGTGTACACGCGGACTCACCAGCTGCCGGAGGAGAGCGCGGGGCGAGCGGGAGCAGGCGGGGACGGCATCGGGAACGACACAACGCAGACAAGGGGGGTGGAGGGGGGTGCAGGGATCGTTAAGAATCACAGCGACGGGAAGTCAGTCGAGGTTCGCAAGCCGCCTGTCGTAGGGCCGGGTCGTCGCGGGGGGTATGACGATGACAACTTCGAGCGACCGACTCTGCCACTCACACACACACTCACCCACTCACACACACACACACACTCACCCACTCACACTCACCCACTCACACACACACTCACCCACTCACACTCACCCACTCACACACACACTCACCCACACACACTCACACACACACTCACCCACTCACCCACTCACACTCACCCACTCACCCACTCACACTCACCCACTCACACTCACCCACTCACACTCACCCACTCACACGCCGACTCACCCACTCACACACACACACCGACTCACACACTAACACACACCGACTCACACACTAACACAAACACACACACCGACTCACCCACTAACACACACACACACACACCGACTCACACACTAAAACACACACACACCGACTCACACACTAAAACACACACACACACACCGACTCACACACTAACACACACACTCACACGCCGACTCACCCACTCACACTCACACGCCGACTCACCCACTCACACACACACACGCCGACTCACCCACTCACACACTCACACACCGACTCACACACTAAAACACAGACACACACACCGACTCACACACTAAAACGCACACACACACACACACCGACTCACACACTAACACACTCACACTCACACGCCGACTCACCCACTCACACTCACACACCGACTCACACACTAACACACACACCGTCTCTGCCATCGGTCACCACCGGATGGCAGAGACGGTCGCTTGAAGTCGGTCAAATTGAGTCGTCGCGCTACGTGTGGGCAAATACCGCCACTCACACACTCAACAACAACAACCGCCATTCGCCACTAAGTGGCGGTGACATCACCACGACGCTTGTGCCAGGCTATGTGCACCCTGAGGCCACGTGAAGTGTCGAACACCCGCTGGCAGGAGGTCACGGGGCAGACCCAGGTGCCACGGGTCGACTGAGTGAGATGACTGGCTGATGCACCACCTGTGCCCCCTACTGTGCCAACCTGCCGTGCTTTAGCCACACGGCGCTCCGCTCGTTGTTGTGACCGTCGCTTCTCCGCCCTCCGTTGTTGTTGGAGGGCGACTGCCTCCAACTGCCCAGTAGCGTCCCTCACGAGCCTCCTCCACAGAGGCCGATCTTGACACCGCTGGTACCAGTCATCGGCAAGTCCACTCAGCTCCACGTCCTCCTGTACCACATCACTCCATCTCTTCTCTAGCCCGTGCCGCGCCCGCTTAGCCCACTCAATCCGGCCGAACAAAAGCTGTTTCGGCCCGCGGTAGCTGGGCATGCGGGCTACATGACCCAGCCATCGCAGCCTTGCCCGCCGGAGGAGCTCACCGATGGGACCTTGCCCAGATCTTTCAAGGATTTGTGAGCTCCTCACACAATCCAGTCTGGTCAAACCCAGGATGGATCGTAGGCAGGCCAGCCTAAATGTTTCTAACCGGCGAAGATGCTCCATTAGGGAGGTCCACGTTTCGCAAGTGTAGAGAAGGGAGAGAGAATGACCGTGGCCGAGAAGACCTGAAGCTTAGTGCGGAGCGACAGACCAGGTAGCTTCCACACAGCGTTACGCAACCAATGAAAAGATATTGCCGCTCGACTGATTCGGAGTGAGATCCGAATCAGTCGATTCAGTCACACACTCGCACACACACCGACTCACCCACTAACACACACACACCGACTCACCCACTAACACACACACACCAACTCACCCACTAACACACACGCACCGACTCACCCACTAACACACACGCACCGACTCACCCACTAACACACACACACACCGACTCACCCACTAACACACACACACACACACCGACTCACCCACTAACACACACCGACTCACCCACTAACACACACACACACACACACCGACTCACGCACTAACACACACACCGACTCACCCACTAACACACACACACACCGACTCACGCACTAACACACACACCGACTCACGCACTAACACACACACACGCACTAACACACACACACACCGACTCACGCACTAACACACACACACACCGACTCACCCACTAACACACACACACACCGACTCACTAACACACACACACACCGACTCACCCACTAACACACACACACCGACTCACCCACTAACACACACACACACCGACTCACGCACTAACACACACACACCGACTCACGCACTAACACACACACACACACCGACTCACCCACTAACACACACACACCGACTCACCCACTAACACACACACAACAACTCACCCACTAATACACACACACACCGACTCACCCACTAACACACACACACCGACTCACCCACTAACACACACACACCGACTCACCCACTAACACACACACACACCGACTCACCCACTAACACACACACACCGACTCACGCACTAACACACACACACACCGACTCACGCACTAACACACACACCGACTCACCCACTAACACACACACACGCACTAACACACACACACACACCGACTCACGCACTAACACACACACACACACCGACTCACCCACTAACACACACACACACCGACTCACTAACACACACACACACCGACTCACCCACTAACACACACACACCGACTCACCCACTAACACAAACACACACCGACTCAGGCACTAACACACACACACCGACTCACCCACTAACACACACACACACACCGACTCACCCACTAACACACACACAACGACTCACCCACTAACACACACACACCGACTCACCCACTAACACACACACACCGACTCACGCACTAACACACACACACACACCGACTCACCCACTAACACACACACACACCGACTCACCCACTAACGCACACACCGACTCACCCACTAACACACACACACACACACACCGACTCACGCACTAACACACACACACACGCACCGACTCACCCACTAACACACACACACACACCGACTCACCCACTAACACACACACACACACACCGACTCACCCACTAACACACACACACACCGACTCACGCACTAACACACACACCGACTCACCCACTAACGCCATCCCCAGCAAGCGCTCGTGCTCGGGGCGACTCACCGACTTGGACGAGTTGCCCACGTAGCGGACGACCATCTCACGCTTGGTGCACAGATCCTTCTCCCGCAGCGGCGCCTTCATAGCCTCACTCAGGTTGAGGTCCTCCTGCGGCACGCACCACCACCACCGTTACCACCACCACCACCGTCACCGCCACCACCGTCACTGTCACCACCATCGTCACCACCACCACAGTCACCACCACCACCGTCACTACCACCACCGTCACCACCACCACCACCACCGTCACCGTCATCACCACCACCACCGTCACCGTCACCACCATCGTCACCACCACCACCATCGTCACCACGACCACCGTCACCACCGCCACCATTGTCACTACCACCACCGTCACCAACAACCATCATCACCACCGTTACCATCACCACCGTTGTCACCGTCACCACCGTCACCACCGTCACCACCGTCACCACCACCATCGTCACCACGACCACCGTCACCACCGCCAACATTGTCACCACCATTACCTTCACCACCATCGTCACCACGACCACCACCACCATCGTCACCACCATCATCATCACCACCATTACCATCACCACCATTGTCACCACCACCACCGTCACCACCACCACCACCACCGTCACCACCACCACCACCACCGCCGTCACCATCATCACCACAACCACCGTCACCACCACCACCATTGTCACCATGACCACCGTCACCACTGCCACCATTGTCACCACCACCACCACCACCGTCACCACCACCACCGTCACCGTCACCACCACCGTCACCACCACCACCAATTAATACAGATGGCTACGTATGGTGCGAAAAAATTTCAACATACAGACACCCTGCCGTGTCCCACCCTGCCACCCCACCACATGGCCACCCACCCCCTCGTGTGCCGTGCCGGCCTGCATAGGCGCTGCTCGCTAACAGCACTTGCCCCAACAGCCTGTTAAAGGCTACACGGGGGGGGGAGGGGGGAGACCTTCGTATTTTATATGGTGGTGGAGAGCATGGCCCCTGGTGTAGGGGGCTTCACCCGGTAAAATAAAAATTGTCCATTTAAATTTCTAGCAATTCGTTTACATTTCCTATAGTTTGTCACTGGGTCGTGTCTGCGTTTGTTGTTGTGACGTTGCTGTGACCCCCCACCCCCCCACCCCCCCGATTGGACGTCGGTGACAAAACAATATCCTCGTAGCTTGTCGGATTCCTCAAGCGGTCTAAACAAAGATTCCGATTGATGATTAATGATTTCAAATTGATGAACAAAAACACGAACGTATGAAAAAACACACGAGTAGGCTTCACCTTTCCTGGCAATACAACGGGAGAGGTGTGAAGATGTTCAAAACACCAAGAAACCTTTTTGCAAGGAATCAAGTTACTGCCTTAACCACACAGTAACTGTGGTGTGAACATGTCAACAAACACGTGGCTCTGCTAACACATGATGCGTTGTCTTTGAAGCCGATTGGCCTAGACCAGAGACAGCGGCCTTCTTCACGGCCCAGTCTCACCGGTGTTAGACCAGAAAACGGCAAAAGGCGAACAGTGCAAAGACAATTCCACGCGTATCACAGCACTTACAGCTGCACTCGGAGTGGGGGGGGGGGGGGGGGAGGGGGCCCGTCGCGACTCAGCCACCGCCTCCTCGCGTCGCCCCGGCGGCCACGGGAGGCCGCGACCGTCCACCGCAACGCTCGGAAGGACCCCCCCCACCGCCGTGTACCCGGCGGCGACCGGCCAGCCGCCACCCCCCCCCGCTTCACGGCACGCGCGCCGGCTTACCATCATCTTCTCGAAGAGCGGCTGGATCTCCTTCTCGGAGAGGTTGGAGGAGGCGAGGACGGCGGAGGGCGATGCCAGGACGGGGTCCGACATCTCGACGGGGGCCCCGCCGCCCCCGGCGAAGCGCACCGAGTTGGGGCGCTCGCGCCTCGCGCCCGGCCTCATGAAGTCCATCTGCACGAAGACGCCATTCACAGGTGCCGTTGTGACGACCATCGCCGTTTTACCACGTCATCATCTCTCTACCGTTATGACGACGATGATCACCGATGTTCACCACAGGCGCCCTCATTATCTCTCTACCGTTATGACGACGACGATCACCGATGTTCACCACAGGCGCCATCTGGCTACCATGAGAGATTCGTTCATGAGGCTATCCACATATACAAGCACAGAGACAATTTCAATCGAGAAGATGGATTCTGGCTTTAGCAATCATTGGAAGGATTTGATAAACCATTTCAGGTCTTAATTGATTGTTCACGCTTACGGTGGCTTTCAGACAGCATACATTAATTTTTCGTCTCCCCCCTCCTATTTTCAGAACATAGATGGACTAGTCCTTCTAAATAAACTGCCAAATCGCTGCGCGTGGCGCTAACGTTTTTTATAAATAAATACACCGCTTAAAAATAAAGAAATGCAGACCGCCACTTCTTTCAAATGTTTCTTGCCGTTGGTTTTTTCACACCTGATGACGACCGTTTGTGTTATGGTCGAAACGTCGTGATATTTTTTTATTGTTTTGTATATATTTTATTGTTTCCCTTCAACGTAACATTACCGAAAGAGCTAATAATATATATCTCTCTACCGTTATGACGACGATGATCACCAATGTTCACCACAAGCGCCCTCATCATCTCTCTACCGTTATGATCAGATAATAATCGATGATCGACTGCATTTTGTTTCAAGATACAGTGGCACCTCGGAGATCGAACGCCCCAGAACTCGAACAATTCGGTGATCGAACAAAATTTTCGACCATTTTTTGCCCCGGACATCGAACAAAAATTCGGAGGTCGAACAACTGGAAAAACCAGTTTGGGCCGAGACGCGTAGCCAGGGCGACCGAGACGCGTAGCCAGGGCGACCGAGACGCGTAACCAGGGCGACCGAGACGCGTAGCCAGGGCGACCGAGACGCGTAGCCAGGGCGACCGAGACGCGTAGCCAGGGCGACCGAGACGCGTAACCAGGGCGACCGAGACGCGTAACCAGGGCGACCGAGACGCGCAACCAGGGTGACCGAGACGCGTAACCAGGGTGACCGAGACGCGTAACCAGGGCGACCGAGACGCGTAACCAGGGCGACCGAGACGCGTAGCCAGGGCGACCGAGACAAAAGCGGATGACCCAGTTTACGCGTAGCTCTCTCGTCCTTTATCACTGTAAAGTTCCTGACCCCCAACACGACTCCTCTCATCCAGCCCATAGACCAACAGGTAATTTCCAACTTTAAAAAACTCTACACTAAGGCCCTTTTTCAAAGGTGGCAAAATGGGCTGAGTTACACAATTTAGTAGAAAAATATACAGAACGCAGTAACCAGCAGAGCAGGCGATTTTTATCATGATAATGCATTGAGACATTTCAGAAACATCTTAAAACGGAGGCAGAAACAATCCTCTCTCGATCAGTTTTTAGTAAAAAGGCCCTCAAGTGAATCACAGTTCGTGCTCGACAAAAGGCAAAGAAAGAATCCCAGAAGGGCAGTTCCCCAACGTGTTTATGGAGGGGGACTCCCCTTCCAAGCAACACTGACACCTCCTCCCCTCCTCAACACCTTCCACTCAAGCCACCCACTCTCCTTACTACAGGCAAAGCGAAGTTCAATGTTCATTTATTCTATTAATTATAACTGTGTTGCTTGTTTTTTGTATGCTTTTATGTACTGTACTGTATTTTAATATTGTAAACTTTGTGTAAAAATGGCCCATAATAGGAGCATCCTTGGGTGGGGGACCAATTAATGCTATTGCCATTCATTCTTATGGGGAAATTTGATTCGGTGTTCGAACAATTCGGTGTTCGAACGCGGTTTTGGAACGAATTAAGTTCGATCTCCGAGGTACCACTGTACAGATATGTTGTTGTTGGTAAGTTTTTGCACCAGGGGGCGATGCTGCTCCTCTGTGTAACACCAATTGAGTACACAACAGAGGTTTATTTTGGGCGAGATCGCGTAAATGTAAGAGTGTCCTTAAACCCGCCACCACCCGACACAGCTAATTAGTAAGGTTTGTCACGTAACACAGAACATTCGTCACTAGCACAGCACTACACCGCTTGTGTGTTGGAGAGTAAAGCCACAACATTTACAATCCGCGTACGACGCTTGAGTCATTTTGCAGGTGAAACGTGCAGTAGTTTTGCATCACTGGGATGTTTGGCCAAGGCCAGGTACAACCGCGCAGGATTGTTTAGGCTGTGGGAGGAAAGCAGAGGCCCCGGAGAAAACGCGAATGGAACAGAGGGAGAACGTCCACACAGAAAAGTCGCCACAGTCACCAGTCGAACCCAGGCGCTACAGGTTCGCCTTGCTCTACGCCGGTCCGGTTTGCGTGATTTCACGATGTTTATGCGGCTAAGATATTCGCACCCAAAATTCGCTATCATATGCGATTTTAATTCACTGAGATGCAGACGTAGGGCAGCACTGTGCGTACTGTGTGTGTGTACTGTGTGTACTGTGTGTGTGTGTACTGTGTGTACTGTGTGTGTGTACTGTGTGTGTGCGTACTGTGTGTGCGTACTGTGTGTGTGTACTGTGTGTGTACTGTGTGTGTGTGTACTGTGTGTGTACTGTGTGTGTACGCTACTCGGCAGGCAGCTGTCTCCTCGTGCGGTTTCGCTTTGTATGCCCTATTCCTTTTGGAATGCGCCCACTACCACTGCACACAGAGCGAGGGCTAGCTACCTTTCATCTCAACTAAACTCTTCTTCTCACGTCGCCAGGTGTAAGGCCCCCACCGAGCTGAATTTCTCTTTATCAGAAGCGACCCGGCCATCACGAAAGACAGCCCAACCAAGTGCCTCAATCAGCACGTGGACATTGACAGCGGCAGCACGTGGACATTGACAGCGGCAGGACGAATACCCAAATCGCGATGGGGAAGACGACACGCGTGGGTTCCGTAGCCTCGGCGGCCGGCCCCGTCCACAAGGCCGCGCTTCACACGGAACAATCCAAGAAGCCTCTCTCTCTCTCTCTCTCCTTCCCGCCTCCTTTTACGGATTTTTGCAGACCCTCAAGGTTTGCGGAGGTGTAACGACAACATCGTAAAACCCGCAGAGGCTCCAGCTCGCCCGCGCGCGCGGTGCAGCGGCGACGCGCAAGAATCGCGAGCGACGGATCTCGCGCGGTCATAGCGCGCGGTGGGTTCAACCGCCGTGACCTCCTGCAACAATAAAGTAGTGGACGCTACTTTGTTCTTGGTGTTGTTGTTGTTGTTGTCAGCGCTGGAAACGTCGTCTTTCGTGGACCATCGTTTCGTTGTGATTTTTTTTAAGGGCAGCGCTATTCGTCGAACGCGTCGAGTTTTTATTTTGTTGGCCGCGCTCGTGCACCGGCCAGTGCCTTCGCAGCAGCGGCGGCATCGTCATCGCCAATTAATAGTTTTGCTCTTGTATGTTGGGCGCACCGGTGGAGATGTTGACTACCTCGCCTGGTGTGCAGGAGGTCGTGGGTTCGATCCCGACCCCGACGACGCCTGCTGCTGCTGCTGTATATTTGGAGTTTGCGCGTCTCTCTCTCTCCCTCTCCCCATGGTCGCGTGGATTTTTCTCCGGGTCTTCTGGTTTTCCACTCCGCATTCAGAATCAACACGTCAAGCGTTTGTTTGACCGCTGTAAATTTCCACGTGACGACGATGATGATGAGCCACTTCGTCGAGCTTTGATTTGTGGTAACCAGGTCGCTCCAACCAGGGCCCCGGAACGCCGTGGTGGGAGCTAAAATTCGAACCCTGTTGACTGCGCCGGCTGAAACTCGGATTGGAATCGAGGACTCTCAGGCGGTGCCTGCCGGGCTCCCGGCGTCTCTTGACCTCCGAGCTGAGCCGGGTCACCTACGAGGCGGCAAGAGAACCCACGGCGGGTCGTAGAAATCGCCTTGGGGGGGGGGGGGGCGGGCTGGTGAGAGGAGCGTGGGAGGGCACGGCATCACGCGCGCGCTCTCGGGCCACCGTTGTGCCCGTAACAAAGAGGCAACGTGGCTGCCCGGCACGTGGGGCGCCCTCTGCGCGTCCGGCGCGCTCTCTCGGGTCAGTTACCGCGTTGACGTCCGACGTTTCGCCCCCACGTGCCGGGGCCTTCTTCGGCAATCAAATCAGTCTCTGGACAAAGAGGGACTGACCGACTGGTCTGCTCGCTTCTCGTGACAATAACAAACCGATAGACCAGCCTCCGATTGGGTCACACAACAATAACAAAAAAATTGTTCCCGAAGAAGCTCCCAGCACGCAGAAGCGAAACGTCGGACATCGTGCCAAACCACACGGGGCGTGACCTGAGAACACAACAGAATGACTCCGCGTACGTGCGCGTGCGTGTGTGTGTGCGTGTGTGCGTGGCTGTGCGTGTGTTTGTGCGTGTGCGTGGCTGTGCGTGTGTGTGTGCGTGTGCACGCACTGGGGAGACAAAGGCGGTCTGGCGTGGTCCTGGCCACCCACCCACCCCCTCGTGTGCCGTGCCGGCCTTTATAGGTGTTTGCTAACAGCACTTGCCCCAACAGCCTATCGAGGCTATATGGGGCACCTTTGTTTCCACCTTTGCTCCGCGCGTGTCGACGTTATCGCGCTGTGTGCGAGCTCCTCGCAGGACTGGAGCCTTCAACGGAGCAAAAACAAATCGCGGAGTGTGGGCGGACACGGGGACGGCTGGTTTCACTTCCACCGTATGGACTTGAGAAATAAAATCAAACGTGCAGCAAAATAAGGACCCCCCCCCCTCCCCGCAGCACCCGGTAAAAAGTTATAAAATGTTCAGACCTATGCCTCGGACTCCTTGAAGAGGCGGGTAATCGTTCAAGTGAGAGCATGTAGTGATTTAATTAATTGGGCAAAAGGAATATGCCAATACCCTTCAACCCATATGGTTTAGCTCAACCAGTAACTAATTGGCACGTTCTGTTGACGGGACAAACCGTACTATACGGCTGCGTTGGGT